AGGTTTATGTTGAATGTTTGTCCGTGATTTGTGCATATCGAGATCCTCGTGGGTTCAGACATCTCCTTGGCCGGAAAATTTTTCTGGATGGTAGTCGCGGAATTGTGCGACCACTGTGGCCTGCGGGAGTTCCTGGTGACCTGGATCTCTACGAGGAGGCATCTGAACATTGAAATGTTTAACATGATTAAATAACATAAGTGATTAACTGACTGACTGCTTAAGTGCACAAATTTCTTGACGAGTTGCTAAATAACCCGAGAATACTAAGGTCGAATCATCAAGTAACTGAGACAATCGACTATGTTATGAAAATACTCGAGCATCTTACTGGTTTCTAGGGTCAAATATCTGGTACCCTCTTACTGAGCATAGACTTAAGCATTCGTTTAAATATATATAAATTGTAACTCAACAATTACCTGTAGTCGGCGAGGCGTGAGCGTAGCGTGGTCGGGTCTTTTCTTGAAAATTTCTGACTTAAAAAGTATTTAGATACACAAAAACGTGCTCTGATACCAATTTGTAACACCCCGCTAGCTTACTAAAATCAGAGTGCGATTTTTGCAAATTCTTTTCTAAAATTTACGTTGTAGTTTGTGAAATCATATCTCGGGATGCTACAGAAAAACATTTCTTTCCTAAAATCCATTATCTTTATTAAGTAAATACTATTTATGAAAAACGGATTATCTTTTATCAAACAAGTGTGTAATACTGTATAAAATCCGTCCAAAAGACTCGGACCAAAGTCTGAAAATAACACGCTAATTTGAAAATCTGAAAGCATCAGCGGAAGAAAAAACGTGGCAAATAATATACATATAATAAGTCTGCAAAAACATAAATACATATGTACTACACCAGCGACCACCAGCTTCGCTCACTCCTCCGGACCGACCCTATTACCTGAAAAAGATAATAATAGTGGAAGCGTGAGCACTAAAAGCCACTGTGCTCCGCAGAAACCCATACTGAATAAAACAGTAATAATAATTGCATCATCATGATCAAACGCATGTATAT